CTTCTATTTGAATCATTTAGCTCCAACTTACCTGCACGGTATGATTGGCGTTTCCGGGACAATCCCCTTTATCTCCGGCTGGTCGAAAGCACACTAAAATAAAAATTAACTATTACTTGCTCGCTAGTCTGGGTAGCGGCATAACACTGGATGGATTAAAGTGGTTCGTCTGAGTAGAGGCGAAACGAACCATTCTATTCTCTTTAATAAATCCCATTTCTCATTTCCAATTCTTTCCTACCTTTTACATAGCACGCACTAGCAGAGAGATTCCTAAGTTAGCTGTTGTGGGATGCAGGCAGCGAAACATCCGACACGCCGCAGTCAGGGCACTCCATCGTTTGGAGAGTCCCATCAAGGGGCGCACTGGTCGCTAGGGAAGAGGGTCGTATTCGCTTCCGAAAAAAGTTTTCCGATTTCTGGAAGTTGAGTTCTCTCTTGCGGTTTCATGTGCATCTATGATGACGCCCCACCCACGTCTCCTCACCGCCTGACAGCACCTTTTGAGGTTGGAAAAGGGGTAGGGAGCTGGAAAAACTCGGGAAGATGGTAGGTAGAACATGGGAGGTATCGCACCAGATGATTGCACTGTTGTACTGACACCACCATTTCAGGTATCACTTGCTGTCTTGTTGCAGCGCTGTCACTTTTGAGTGTTTGAGGTCTCGCTGCGAATGGTGCTCACATCACCTCTCCCCGGATTATTTCTGCTTAACAAGGAGGAGTTCGTACCATTGCTGTTCGCACGAGGTCGTCGTTCCAGCCGCTGCATTTGCGTTCGGCAGGATCGTTGACAGACTTCGTACGAAAAGAAGTTGTTCGCATTACCGTCACAGCCGAGATACCAGAAGCGAGTACATTTGCCTGAAATCCAGGAAATCAGGGAACAGAGCGAGGTCTCGTTTCACCCACCATGATCTCTGTCGAAATAGAAGCGGAAGCCGGCGTTCGCTAGACATTTGTCTTCATTCTTCCCGTTGCCGTGATCGAGTGGCATGTGACAGTCCATTTCAGTATCTAAAAATTCGTTTTGCAGTTCTATAACGATTTTTTTTCGACTGCGCTACCATTTGAGGAAATGCCTGCAAAAAGCACTAGTGCTTCTCTCATAATGCTTTCTCATCGCTCTTGCCATGTGGACAGTTCAAAGCCCACTGCTGAGAGCGGCTGCGATGCGGTTAGTGCCACTTGGAAGCGTGATATAGTGGACCTTTCGAACTTTCGCCAATCATAGTCTTTCCAGCCACGTGAGGGCAAACCGCTACGACATCATGCTATCTTTTCAGCTGGTATCGCGCAATCAGTCGGGGCGGTGCCAGGAGGCATAAAATGAGCCCAACAGAGGTAGTTTATTCCACTGATTGTTTTCCTACTGAATCAATCACCCGCCAATCACTATTGGTAGAAAACCCTACTAGGTCCAGCTCATTCGACGCCTCGAATAACTGCGAAAATATATCTTATAGTTTTGGAAACAAGTTCACAGAATTTGATTATTTGGTTGTGTATCTAACGTC